CTGGCTCAGCCCAGCTCACCCCTAATCCCAGCTCTCACCAGCAGGTGTAGCAACCTAGCCCATCCTGGCCCACTTCTAGCTTTCATGTGAATTGGCAGGTGTTGCAGCCCAACATGGCCTGACCTGCACCCATCCTGGATCTTGTTCATGCTAGTGGGCACTGCAAACTGACCTAGCCCAGCTCAGCCCAGCACAACCTGAGATCTGGCCCACTCGTAAGCCAATAGGTGCTTCAGCCTAGCCTGGCCTAACCTGGTCTGTCTCCAACCCCAGCTCTCATACTCACCAGGGGGAACAGTGGCCCAGCCTGACATGAAGGCCTTATTTTTAATAGGCATTATTTTAGACAAGGTTTTAAAATCTGGTGACAACCCTAATTGGAGGCCCATATAGGCATGCATTCTGCTCAATTACATAAACAATATTAAAAAGAAAATTAAAATTTTTTGTAAATAATGTCTGTCTGATGACAGATAATTATAAGAATAAATTTAAAGTTGATCAGCATGTGTTCATTTCTGGTATACAATTAATTTCATTTAATATCTATATGAAAAGTTTCTGGAAGTTTAGAAACATTTTGGATTAGAACTTGAGCAAGAAATGCTAAAACAAAAGAAGAAAATAGACACATATGACTATTGCTCTATTGTTACTGGCTAAGTTTAGAAATGATGAACTACAAACAGCTTAACCTGTGAGTGCAGTTTCATCTTAATTTGTCTGCATGTTGCACAGAAGATCAAGGTTGCACACTTGCTAGACTCCTTCCTCCGAAGGAGAGCAGGTCAGTGTACTTACACATCATTACCAGGAGAAAGCGTAGACACTTTGAAGTGTCTGATTTGAGTATAAAATTTAGGAGCCATACTCAGGTAAATACGGGACTATTAAGGAGTAGTTCAAACCTGCCAGATGTAAGGATCCTGGAGAAACACACCAAAGTACTTCACCACCAAGTTGAGCCTCTGCTTAAAACACTGGCAACCCATATCAGAGTGCTAATTGGGGTCCCTGCTACCCTGCTTCTGATCCAGCCTCCTGCTTAATCGACCTGGGAAGGCAGCAGAGGATGTCTCAAGTCACTGGGTCCCTGCCACCCACCTGGGAGGCTCAGATGGAGTTCCTGAGTTCGTTCATTCTCTCTCTCTCTCTCTCTGTCTTTCTCTCTCTCTCTCTCCCTTTCAAATAAATAAATAATTTTGAAAAAAAAAGTTTAAAAAAGAACAAAAGGTTCATTCATCAGAAATGGTTGAGAGAACAAAGGAAGGATATATTAGAGTCAGGGACATAAATATAAACAGCAGATAATCCAAATCTGCTTATATTTCTTTATCTTAAAACTTTCTCTAACAGCTCCCAGTAGCTTTGGCAAACAAGAGAAACAGATCATCTATATCCCTAGAAACAACAGTGACCCTGGCTGAGCAATGAACAGGCAGCCTGGGATTCAGTCTGTTAAGATGAAAGGCAAAAAGCAGAGCTGGCTAGCTGGCTTACAATGGTGTTTACAAGTAAATGACTTAAATGAAGCATTTCCTAGAAGAAAGTATTGTATATCTTTAGTACATTTTATTCTTTATGGAAAACTTATCAACAGCAGACATTTTCATACATTTCCATAAGAGTACTGGTTGCAGTTCCAGCTGCTTCACTTTCAATCCAGCTCCGTGCTGATGGCCTGGGAAAGCAGCAGGTGGTGGCCCAATTGTTTGAGCCCCTACACCTACATGGGAGACCCAGGCTCCTGGCTCCTGCCTGTAAATTAGCTCAACTCCAGCCACTGTGGCCATTTGGGGAGTGAACCAGCAGATGGAAGATCTCTCTTTGTATGTCTCTCCTCTCTGTGTAACACTACCTTAAAAAAAAAAAAAGGAAAAAGGAAAGTTCCACTGACCTCTTAGTGTGTGATCTTCTAAGTCTCAATCTGTCACTATGAAAGGTCCTTCAGTGTGCTGCCCCTAAAGGAGCTAGAAGCCACAACCCACAACCTATTAAGTGCTTGAACCCACAACCTATTAAGTTCTGCATTTATCTCTCCCACACCCTGAACTACTCTCACTGGCAGCTACAATTGAATAAATAAATCTTTAAAAAAAAAAAAGAAGAAGAAGAAGAGCTGACTCATCTAAGTCAACAGAGGACTTCAAATACCTCATCAAAAGATGCAAAGCAGGACAGGTGGCTCAACAATCCTGGCCAGGCCTTATAGGAGGCATCTAGGACTGTGGATACACGAGGTAGACAATGATCAGCCATTAGGCCTTAAAATAACTGTGTACCTCTAGTGTAACAAAACAGACAACCTCTCAGACAACCAAAACCATTCAAGTAACATCCTTGGACCACTCTCCTCCACAACAAGGTCTCCAATGATCCTCTCCCCGGGTGCTGATGTAGTGAGTGTGACAGCCAGGATCCATGCACTCCCCCTCCTGAACTCCTCCGCCACCTCCTACAGACTCATGAGCATTTATCTCATCCATCTCCCCCCTTTATTGACCCCCAGGGGTCAATAACTGAAATCAGAGGCTGGGCCCAGCACTATAGCCTAGCGGTTAAAATCCTCGCCTTGAATGCACCAGGATCCCATATGGGCGCCAATTCTAATCCCGGCAGCCCCACTTCGCATCCAGCTCCCTGCTTGTGGCCTGGGAAAGCAGTCAAGGATGACCCAAAGCCTTGGGACCCTGCACCTGCATGGGAGACCTGGAAGAAGCTCCTTGCTCCTGGCTTTGCATTGCCTCAGCATGGGCTATTGTGGTCACTTGGAGAGTGAACCAGCAGATGGAAGATCTTTCTGTCTCTCCCTCTCTCTGTAAATCTGACTTTGTAATAAAAATAGCTAAGATTTTAAAATAAAGTCATATTATTTCCTCATGTAGCAAATCTAGTCACATTGGATAACCCCTTTCATACAGAGGTTCTTCAAAACTTCCGGGAAAAGGCACATTATGAATCAACTATGCACGAAACTTCAAGATATCTTGCACCCAAACAAATGCACTTTTTTAAAAGAGTTATTTTTATTGGAAACTCAGATTTACAGAGAAGAGAGACATCCACTGATTCACTCCCCAAGCAGCTGAAATGGCCAGAGCTGCACCAATCCAAAGTCAGCAACCAGGAGCTCTTCCTGGTCTTCCACGCAGGTGCAGGGTCCCAAGGCTTTGGGCCATCCTCCACTGCTTTCCCAGGCCACAAGCAGGGAGCTGGATGGGAAGCGGGGCTGCTGGGTTAGAACCAGCGCCCATATGCAATCCCAGTGTGTGCGAGCAAGAACTTCAGTCACTAAACTACCGCACCAGGCCCCAACAAATGCACTTTTAAATTCCATTTTCAATGAATGTTTTTCAATTTCCCTCCTCAGCAATACTTGATTCTCTGATTGGTTCCCTAGTCATAGGCCAGGTCAAAAGAGTCAATTATTGGGCCCAGCAGTGTGGCCTAGCGGCTAAAGTCCTCACCTTGAATGCGCCAGGATCCCATATGAGCACCGGTTCTAATCCCAGCGGCCCCACTTCCCATCCAGCTCCCTGCTTGTGGCCTGGGAAAGCAGTCAAGGATGGCCCAAAGCTTTGGGACCCTGTACCCGTGTGGGATACCCGGAAGAGGTTCCCGGATCCTGGCTTCGGATTGGCGCAGCACGGGCCGTTGCGCTCACTTGGGGAGGGAATCATCGGATGGAAGATCTTCCTCTCTGTCTCTCCTCCTCTCTGTATATCTGACTTTGTAATAAAAATGAATAAATCTTTAAAAAAAGCCAATTATTAAATGTTCAGGGTTTTTGGTAGGGAACTGTTAAATACAGTCACTATTAAATATTAAGCTGACCTTTAAATACATTATACTAAGTACAAAGACCGTACACCACAAACATCTCCCTTCCTAGATATTTGTATTGTTTTTGCTACTATTGATGTTCTCAAGCATCCATGTCCAGTGTGTCTGATATGTCTTTGGTAGGTAAGAAAATGGTCCTGTTGCCTGATAGAGGAATTTAGGAAACCCCTGTGTCAGGCAACAGTCCCTACAAGACTGTTGAGCACAAGCATCAATGCTGGGGGCAGCCCAGAGCAGGCCAGGTTATACTACCAATCAACACACATGTGGGTCAGGTCTGGAGGCAGACTGAGCCAGGCCAGTTCATGACACCCACTGGCAGATGTGAGAACCAGGACAGGGTACAGGACAGCCAGGTTGGACCATAACACCAGCCAGTTCACATTAAGGTTCACACTAGGCCATAGCACCCGCCAGCAGGAGCTGGAACTGGAAAGGCTCTAGCACCCACTGGAAAATGCACAGGAGAGGCAAGGCATACCAGACTGGGTCACAGGACCCACCAGTACACATAAGACTAGGAGAGAGGGGGAGGCAGCCCAATGTGGGGCTGCAGAGGCATCCATGTTGGGCCACTGCACCCTCTGGTCAGAATGAGAGCTGGGATTGGGGCACACGAGACTGGGCAGGGCTATGGCACCCACTGGCCTGTGTGTGAGCTGGATTAGGAGAGCCAGGCTAGGCTAAGCGACCATATCCCCTGGTGCATGCATGAGCCAGAGTAAGTGCAGGCTTAGGTGGACTTTGCCACAGTGTCAGCTGGTAAGTGCTGGGACTGAGGACAAGTCTTGTCCAGCTGTGGAGAGCGGAGCCACGCCTCAAAGATGGCGCTTGCTGACCATTGCTTCATGGCACAAAGGTGGTAAACAGGTTTTGGGAAGTTACTGAGGATTGGGCCGAGCACGCAGGGAAGCTATGTGACCTAAGTCATGATTGGTGTGTTTATGGCATGACGTGAGGAGCTGTGTATGGATTGGTTTGTGCAATGTAAAAGGTTGTGGGTAAGTAAATGGTTAAAAAGGAGATTCCCCTGGGCATGCTTCAAGGTTATGCTGTAATTGCCTCACTGTAATAAATCTTACAACTGTTGCAACTTTTTCTTTCTTTTCTTTTCTTTGCCACTACGCTTGAAGTCTTGACCAATAAACTTTTTAAAGAGTCTTTACCGTATCGGGGTTTTGCTCACGGGACGAGGGACCCCGATATCCAGCTAGACATAGAAGCAACTGGAAAGTGCAAGATTCAGGTATGGGAGTGGGCCTAGGAGGGAAACGGTAGACACTTCTCTGTTAGGCTGCAGTTCCACTGGTGACCATGATTAGCAGGGCTGGAGATGGGCCTGGATAGTGGTAGCACCCACCAGTATAAGTGTAGGTTGAGTAGGGGGATTGGTTGAGCTGAACTAGGCTCCAGCACCCACTGATATGTACAAGAACTAAGTGGAATGTGGGATACACTGATCAGTCTGTCATAGCAATCGGCATGTGCAGAAAGCAAGGTTGGGGGCGGCCTTGGTGTGGGATATTGGTGGTCACTCCAACTGGGCTGCATTTCCCACTGGTGTGCATGAGGGTCAAGTGCGTGGTGGGCTGGGTTAGGCCGCAGAATCCATTGGCTTGTGTATGAGACAGACCTAAGGACAGAAATGACCCAACAATTGCAATTACCAGCGTGTGTGTAGGCTGATGTGTGTGGACTGACCTGAACCCACACTAGTTGGCACACAGAATCAGGCTGGGTTCATCTCTGGTGAAGTTTCCTTGAGGACTCCCCCAAATTTGACCACTGGACTGGAAACCACAAGCACAGGGAACATCACATGATCTGTGGTCTAAGCGTGGGTCATGTCTGTCAGAACTGGGCCTCCTCAATTGCTGAGGCCTGTGTAGTAGACGGCATGGCCAGGTGCACATGGGGACATGACAGGTCATTGAGACCTGCAGAGGATATCTAACGCCATGGAGGGTTAGATCAAAATGGACAACTCTCCCGGCTGAGCTTCAGTAGTGGGCATCTGAGCAAGTCAAGACTCCGACGTGGACTATGTCAGCCAATGGACTTTGGAGGGATTTCCTCAACCTTGGAGCAACAAAATTAACAGCATCTCAGAACGATCAAAACCACCTAAGTAGTATCCTCAGAACACACTCCACTTTGGGGATCCTAGGATGATAATCAGTGGTCATCCCACATCTTTTGAGTACTGGTGTGTTTAGGCTGCTGGGAATGGTCCTCTCCTCCTGTCCCTCCTCCTTTCCATAACCAGGAAGAATAGAAGGGAAGATTGGAAACAGTTGTCTCACCCATTTTCCCTCATTCATAGGCCCTTTCCACCTTAAGCAGGGATCCACATGGGCATGCATCTTTTTCAACTATGAAAATATCATCAAAAGTAAATCGATTCTGAGGGGGAAAAAGATGCTGTGTCCACTACTAGGAGTTCCACCAGGGTTGCTACCGGCCGACCCCACATGGGATGCTACCAGTTGGCACCCCTCTAAGGGTTCACCCCAAATGATTATGTACGCCAAGGCACCATCAGCCGACTCGGCATTCCCATAAGGCACGTTTCTGTTGAGCAGCTCTGGCCTTCTCTAGTCTTCCTCCCCCCCAGAGGTAGCACAAGTGCTCACGCCAAAACTCTGAGAATCTACTGGTCTTATCATTGCAGGAGGCAACTGTTCGCCAACTGGTCTCTGCTGGGTGCTGACAGAGCCTGAGCTCTGGCACTACCTACCCCACTGGCATTTCTGTTGCTGGCTAACTCATAACTCAATGGATATAACACTGTGCTTTTTCAAATTGTCTTCATTTAAAGTTCAGAAACATTCTGATAACTTTATTAATCATCGTTATGCGGCCTGACATTTCAACACATGTGTACCAATCAAGTCTGGGTAATTCATATTTGCCTTTGTTGTGACTTTATATGATTGTCACCTTGGAGCTCCTCTTTTCCTATTCATGGGCCACAGATATATGACATTATTTTTGTTAGCTAATAAGTATTTGGATTTTCACCATATTGTAAGCATCCCGGAGCTTCCACAAACCATAACTGCAATTATCACACCAAATGGTCTTTTTCTCTTGGCCTCTCTGGAGACAGCCTTTTGGTCTTGCTTAAACAACTTGCCACATAGCACCCTTTAGCCTTTGACCTTTGCTGGAAACTACAGACAATTGAAAGGCAAGTTCAAGGGGGTTTGTTAACTCCTTCCCGTTCTTTCTACTTCTTTCACTCTGCTTCCCAGTGTCTGTCGAGGCCACCTGTTCCTGCAAGTTTCCTCTGATTACTCCACTCTGTCCCAAGCCACGTGTGGGAAGCAGGTGCGCAGTGACTAAACGAAGCATTTGCTTCTGGTTTGTTTCAGGCTCACGCACAGATGTGGCAAATGTGGGGACTTTTCCTGTCTGGGGAGAGGAATACCTTTCCTCTCGTTGGCCGTGGAATTGAGCAGGCAATTATTTTTAAGGGCAAGTTCACTGTCTGAATCAATATTATCTAAAAAGATAAATGTAGTGAAATTCAGAAGTAAATACATAAAATAATAAAACAAAACGCTAAGTGTTTGTGTCAGCACGGTGCCTCAACAGGCTAATCCACCAGCTGCAAGCCTCAGCATTCCATCTGGACACTGATCCATGTCTCAGCTGCTCCACTTCCCATCCAGCTCTACAGAAGGCCTGGGAAAACAGCTGAGAATGGCCCAGTGTCTTAGCACCTTGTACCCGTGTGGGACACCCAGAAGTTCCCAGTTTCAGACTGGCTCAGCTCTGGACTTTGCAGCCACTTGGGGAATGAAACAGTAGGTGGAAGATCTTTCTATCTCATCTTCATACATCTGTCTTCCGAATAAAAATAAATGTTTAAAAATGTTCACTATTGAAGAAATGCCTTCCCATTAATGTTTCATTCATTAAGCACGTTTAAAGCTTTAAAATAGCAGAAATTTTAAAATTTGATTTTTTAATCTAATAAATATTGCCCATACTTGCGGAGTACCATGTGATATTTTGGTACATATAAACTATGTAGTGTTCAATCAAAATAAATAACTTCATTTCTTCAAAGGCTTACTATTTCACAAGATCCTAACTCATGGCTTTTTCAGTAAGCTATGCAGTGCAGGGACCTTGTCTGCAGTCAGAATTCCCGCTGTGTCTGGCTCCCTCTGGCGCCACCTGGCTATTTCTACACTGAGTGTGTGGGCTTGGGATCCTGGGAGGGGTCCTCCAGCACCCTGGCTCAGCGGCTTATCTGGAAGGGGAACTGAGAGCTGAGCCAAAACAGCTCACCAGCAGCAGAGCTGGTATTAGACGCTGAATGTGTCTGATTCCAAAACTCGGGCTCTTTGGGGCATACAGTCAATTTGCATTTTACAAATAAGAACTTTATTAATCACCTCCCCAGATTTTCAAAAACCTCATAGTAGTCTTTTTTTTTTTTCTAGTGGTGTTATAAGTAAGTAGAGAAAGTGAATTCCAAAAGAGCTTGCTTCCTCGCCTCTTATTGGGCTCTCTTGCACCCACCTCCAGCTTTTGCTCAGATAGCCTGCCCTACCCAGAATGGACAGCAGAGAGCGCTCACAGCTGCCAGCCTTCCCTCCCTGGGTTTTGGGTTAAGCTGCTATCTTGTCTCTCCGAACCAAAGTGTGCTTCTCAAACCCCCAAACTTCCAGAGAGAAAAACGCCGCTGTCATGTCCCTCAGTCTGGAAGCAGGGAGCAGGGAGAGGCAGCGAGGACAAGCCTCCTTTTCTGCAGGAGAGGAAGAGCATGGAGCAGTGCGCTGGGTGCTCCTCTGAGCTCCACAGCTGCCTCCTACTGCTCCGGGAGATCACGAGAAGGGTCCTGGAGTGACCAAAATCTGCTTTCTCATTCGTAAAACAAAAAGCAGAAAAATGCTCTGAAAATGGTCTAAAGCAATGGAACCTTTAGGTCTTCTAAAAGTGCTTGCAAAATAGAATTGAAGGATGAATTTATTTTAGCGCAAATATATATATACCAGGCGAAAGAAAGGAGGTGACATGCTGCGCGGTGGTCTTTCACATGCTCACCCAGGGCAGAACACAGCGCCAGTTCCTCCTGGGGAGACCCACAGGCCTCCAATGACTCACTTGGTGGGTTCCATGGGCAGCCACAGAACCACAACCCTATGGAGCCAGGGACGCGCACAGCATCTGCAACAGCTTCCAGCCATGAGCATGTCAGAAAAGCTAGTCCTGCAGGTAGGTACTCAGAGAGGCCAGGGCAGCTCACCCCCAACGAGCTGTGAGCAGTGTGTGAAGATGCAGGTGGCTTGAGTGGGGAAGGCCCCTCTCGCTGCCCCTTTCCCACCTCCTGGGCACTCCCTCAACCCTGGTTGTAAAAGCCCTGGCGAACTGCTGCTCAAGCAGGCAGCTTCCCTTCTCCAGCTCTCTCACTTATCCCAACCAAAGGGAGCTTTCCTGCTAGCAGCTCCCCCTTGAGGCTGACTGTTCCATGACATCCCAAGCCAAAGCATCCCTTGCATCTGAAGCCAGAACTCAGTATGAGTTTCCCAACATAATCTTAGCTGCAAAGGCCTCACAAGAAACACTTCTGAACCAAGAAATGTTTGAAAAGAAAACAGCGACTAAGGCAGAATGTGGATGCTTACGCATCACTCGTGTTTGCATGTCTGGCTGTTACAGAAGCTGCATTGCTGTTGAACCACTCTCACCTGCTAACTTGTCAAACTGGGGGTTCCCATTTGTGGGTCTAAAGAAGGTCCTGCTCTACCTTATCATTGGGATTCTCTTTTTTTAAAGGTCAGTAAGTAGAAGTCACCGGATGATCAACTGGGCCTATCTTGCTGTGAACAACGATTATTGAAGGGACCCAACACTGGGCAAAGCTGCTCCCTGCCATGCCACCATCCCAAATGAGGGCCAGTTCACATCTTGGTTGCTCCATTTCTGATCGAGTTCCCTACTAATGCAGCTAGGAGAGCAACAGAGAGTGGTCCCAAGTCCCAGAGTCCCTGGATTGTTGAGTCTCACTTCCCTTGAGAAGAATGGGACCAGCTGGGCTGGCTGCAAGGTGCAGCTTGGCTTGTGGGAGACCTGGATGAAGCCCCTGGCTCCAGGCTTCATCCTGTCCCCGGGGCTTCACCAGTGGGTATGAACCAGCGAAAAGAAAATGTCTCCCTCTCTTTCTCTCTCTCTGTAGCTCTGACTTTTAAACATAAGTAAATTAATCCTTACCAAAAAGAAAGATTATCCAAA